CAAGGGCTGGGCGGCATCCCGAGTTGTCAGGCTCCGGCCCGCTAGCCTGAGACACTGAGCAAGGCAGCGCCCTGCCGAGCTCGCCAGCCCCTCTTCCCGACAGGTGCGCTGGGAGGAACCACTGGCCTGCAGTGGGGAGCAGTAGGAGTGAGCGCTGTGTGGCGGGAAGGGGAGAAAATAAAACAAAAGTGCTGCTCTGGGTCAGGTTTCTCCCCACAGAGCTCGTTGCATCGTCGCTATTTCCTTTGCACTGGCAGCACCGGCTTTTAGTTTTATGGCTTTTCCTCTTGGTTGCTTTAGAATCCGAAGATTGGAAGGAACCTGGAGAGGTCATCAAGTCCAGTCCCCTGCACTCACAGCAGGACCAGGGGTAGGGATGTAAACGACTAGTCGACTATCCGATAAGCAAATGCTTATTCCACCATCACCTCCTTGTTGCCTCTTATCAGAGAGAGGCAGCAAGGGGGGGGGAGCAGGAGCTGGTGCTGGGGGGGCGCAGTCTTAAAAGCCGTCTCCATGGGATGGGAGTACAGGTGCGGTGTGGAATTGGTGGCATTTCCATCTTTGAAATGTAGCAAGAGTGGGGCTCTTGCTACATTTCAAAAGCAGAAGCACCGCAGGAGCAGACGGTGAGTGGGGGACTCAAGCAGTCCCCTGCTGGTCCCATGCTCCCTGTTTTGGAAATGTACAAGAGCCCCCTGGGGCATGGAGCACGGGGCCAGCAGGGGACTATTCTTGTACGTTTCAAAAGCAAAGCAGGGAGCCAGTAGGCTTTTGCTACATTTCAAAGGGGGAGATGCCCTTATCAACTAATTGAATAGTCAATGACAATTGCAACGACTATTCAATTAGTTGATTAATCCTAAATTTAATATCCTTAATGAGGGATGGGCAAAATACAGCCTGTAGGTCATCTCTGGCCCACTGAGCCCCTGGATCCGCTCCATGGGAGGTTTAGCCATACTCCCTAGCTGTCTTGCTCCTGCATGCTGGTCAGAGTAGCTCTTTGAACATTGAGAGCATGCGGGGAGTCGGAGAGCGACTTTACATGCTGCCTTTGTCCCCAGCACAATCTTACAGCTCCCACTGGCCGTTTCCAGCCAATAGCAGCTGCCTGTTTGCACGCTGCATGAGGTGTCCGTATCTCTCCGGGCTGACAGTGTTCAGAACCACACGTGATTCCTACAGCTGGTGTAGGGGTATGGAAGACAGAGACCCCAGCTGAAGAACTTGCTGGGGTGTTGGCCGGGAACCACCCAAATAAGCACCTTCTGGCCAGAGCCTGCGTCTGGCACCCCAGACTCTCCCAGCAATCCTCTGTACACCCTCTTGCATCCCATCCCAGGTCACAACTGCCTCCCAGATTCCACACCCCCTCCTTACCCTCATCCCTTACCATATGCTCCTTTCTACCACCCATCCTCCATTCCAGACCCCACACCTCCTCCATTAATAATGTGGATAGAGATACTTGAGTAGTTGACTAACCATTAATCTTGGCTTATTGGGTAGTTGAGTCACTACTCGACAACTTGCTTCCCCCCACCTTTCTGCCTCTGTATCAGAGGCAGCAGGGAGTAGGGGGGAGCAGGAGCCAGTGTTGGGGAGAGCTGGCTTAAAAGGAGGGGAGGCAGAGCTGCAGCACTTCCAGAGCTAGCGTGAGCCAGGACTAAGGGCTTGCGCCAACTCCAGGAGCCACCCATGCTGTAGCTCTGCATTTTAAATGTTGTAAAAGTCCAATAACTCTTACTGCTTTTAAAATGCAGAACCGCAGTAGGTCCTGAAGTCAGCACAAGTTAGAACTGCTCAGGCCCAGTTCACGCTGATTCCAGGAACTATCTACTGCAGCTCTTTTCAATTCTTTGGAGTGTACCCCCAGCAAAAATTATTGCTCACCCTTGATTTTGACCATCCCTGACAGGTGATGATTTTCTAACCTGCTCATATAAATCTCCAGTGATGGAAATTCCACACCCTCCCTACAAAATTTATTCCAGTGTTTAATCACTCTGACATGTAGGACGTTTTTCCTAATGTCCAACCTAAATCTCCCTTCCTACAATTTAAACTCATTGCTTCTTGTCTTATCAGAGGTTAAGAAGAACAATTTTCCTTCCTCTTATTTATAACCAGGGCTCAACAATTAGGACAATCTACTCGCCCATGGTGAGTAGATTTTAGCTTGGCACGGCGCCGCAGCACAATCAACGCATGTGCAGCGTGTCAAACCGTGCGGCTGGCGAGCAGGGCTCACTTGTCAAGCCCTGTTTATAATAACAACCTTTTAGATATTTGAAAACTGTTACCACGTTCCCCCTTGGTCTTCTCTTTTCCAGACTAAACAAACCCAATTCTTTCAATCTTTCCTCATAGCTCATGTTTTCTAGACCTTTAATATTTTTTGTTGGTCTTTTCTGGTCCTCCTTAAATTTGTTCACATCTTTCTGAAATGTTGGGCCCAGAACTGAACACATTACTACAGTTGAGGCTTAATCAGCACTAGGGATGTTAAAATTGCTGAAATTTTCAGCGGTTACATGGACCCACAGCCAGCTCCCCAGGAGCTGATGTGCACCATGTTTTCTAGACCTTTAATATTTTTTGTTGGTCTTTTCTGGTCCTCCTTAAATTTGTTCACATCTTTCTGAAATGTTGGGCCCAGAACTGAACACATTACTACAGTTGAGGCTTAATCAGCACTAGGGATGTTAAAATTGCTGAAATTTTCAGCGGTTACATGGACCCACAGCCAGCTCCCCAGGAGCTGATGTGCACCCGTAGCTTTCCCAGTAGCTTTCTCCGTGTCTACAATACAGTCCAAGAATTTGTTGGATAATCTGTGCCCTGCTGTGCTATTTTTCCAACAGATGTCTGGAAAGTTGATGTTCCCCACCACCACAAAGTCCTGTGCTTTGGATGATTTTGTTAGCTGTGTTTATGAAAAGAAAAGAAAAAAAAAAAAGCCTCATCCACTTCTTCTTCCTAGTTAGGTGGTCTGACGTAGACCCCCAACCATGGCATCACCTTTGGGGTTTTTTTTTTTTACTATTTTTATTTTTACCCTGATACTCTCAACAAGTCTGTGTCCTGTATCCATCTCAACATCTGTCCAAGTGTGTACATTTTTAGTGTAAGAGACTACACTTTTTTTTTTCCCCTTGCCTGTCCTTCCTGAGGAAGTTGTACCTTTCTGTATCTTGGTAATGTGTTTCCTCAAGTCTCTGTAATACCAACTATGTCATAGTTGTGTTTATTTACAGGCATTATGAGCCCTTCTTTTTAGGGGAAAGGTTCTTCCTCATTTGATCTGACCAGGGTCCCTCAGGTAACTGTTTTTGGTACTCCAAAGATCAGATCTCCTTTTGTTTGATGCTCTCGCTGCTTTATTGCACTGCGTTGTTGTAAATGGTGGTGTTTTCTTCAACAGCCTCCTAAGGAATTCAAAGTGTGGAAGACTAATGCAGTACCACCACCTGAGACTTACAGTATTAAGGAAAAGAAGCCTCCACCACCTCCCGAACTTGATATGGCAATAAAATGGTCTAATATATATGAGGACAATGGTGATGATGCTCCACAGCAAACAAACAAAATTAACTTTTTACCAGAAGAGGAGCAAGAGCCTTCAGAATCAGGTGGGTAACTATCTAATCTAGTGAAGGGCCTGGGGTTGCCAGCTTTCTGATTGCAAAACACTGAACACCCTTGCCTTAAGTCCCTGCCCCAGGCTTACTCCATCTCTAATCCCTCTTCTGCTTGCTTTCCCCTACTCTTGCTCACTGACTCATTTTTTCACCAATCGGGGTTGGGGGGGGGATGAGGGCTCTGGCTGAGGGTGTGGAATCTGGAGTGGGACCAGGGTTGAGGTATTTGAGATGGGGGAGGGAGAACCAGCTTTGGGCTAGTGGTATGGGCTCTAAGGTGGGGGTAGAAATGAGGGGGTTGGAAGTGTGGCACGGGGGTTGGGGTGCAGGCTCCAGGCGATGCTTATCTCTGGCAGCTCCTAGAAGCAGTGATATGGCCCTCCAGCTCCTAGGGGAAGGGATTGCCAGGGGACCTGTGCGCTGCCCCGTTCACAGGCACTACTCTTGCAGCTCCCATTGGCTGTGGTTCCTGCTCAATGGGAGCTGCAGAATCAATGCTTGAAGTGGCACCTGTGACAAGCAGGGGCAGAACACAGAGCCCCCTCCCCCATGCCTGGAAGCAGAAGGGACATGCTAGCTGCTGTGGCCAACCAGACTTTTCTAGTGGCCTGACCAGCAGTAGTGACCAGAGCCACTAGGGTTCCTTTTTTGACCAAGCATTCCGGCTGTAAACTCGATGCCTGGCAACTCTAAAAGGATGTGAAAAATAAAAAAGGATGGTTCTTTTTGGGGTATATTTTGTGATCTGCTTTTAGTTTGGTCTTCCTGGTTTTCCTTCCTCCCCCTCTTCCATGATGGACAATATCTAATATATGGTAACTTGGTACTATACAGCGGCTCAAGAAGGATTACGTGTAAAATCCTATTTACAAAAAAGTCCTCTCATTAGGATGGAAATCAGAATGATTTAAATTCATTTTCTAAGCATGTATTAAGAAACTCACCAGAAAGGGACAAACTATTTTCCAAGCAACCATGTGTTATAAAGCTAAATTTAAGGTTGTTGCAGGATGCGGTCTGAGGGAGCTCAGTTACATTAATTATCTTGCAGTTGATGTCATTAAATAGTCTCTTGCTCAGATTCTGCTGTTCCAAAATCCTGTTTGAATCTTCTTTGTAACCAAACACTTGTTTCTGTTATATTGAACTTTTAACTTGGAAAAAGAGATGAAATAATAATAATGCAATACATATCTGATCTTAGAGTCAAGATGCTAATAGGATTCCATGTAAAGTTAAAGTGACCAAATTTCATAAATCCAAATTTGTAACCATTGGTAGCCTGATAATTCAAGGCCAGCCCTACAATTATTAGGTCATTAAAAATGTGCTATCTGCTTTAATGAACCAATAGTAAGAATAGTTCCTACATAAAGTGTTTCTCTTTCCTCTCCAGAGAGTCATGACCTAATGTGACCTTGCATTCCCCCATCATAAATGTACTAAACTTAACATCTGAATAAAAAGTGAATTTGCTGAGTACTGTTACATATGCTTGAAGGAAAGATCTTAATACAAAATACAAGTCAGGTGGTACATGTCAGCAAGCTCTGCTGTAGAGATCTTTGAGACAAGACTACTGGTAGCCTACTTTTCTTCCTCCTCCTCTTGTACCTCCCTAAGTCAGAACAATACTATCTGGCTGTCTTATTTTCTTCCTCTCTTCATAAAATTATATTGTCCGAGGTTCAGTGGTAAGGTTAGATCCATAGTATCTCAGTGTGCATCTTGTCTTTCCTGGCATGGATTGAGGCTGGCACTGAGATACTCTGCTCCGCTCCTCATAGCATCAGCAGAATGATTTCAGCTCCTGCCTCTGTTAAAGAAGCAATGGTGGGGTCTGCACAATATCTTTCATGTTTAGTCTCTAGTTTATTAAAATCTTAATTTCAGACAGGTTTTACATTAAAAACTGAACTACTGTTGTGTTTCCAGAGATAGCTGTGTTTCAGTGGTAGGCCAAGCTGTTTGTAATTATGATGTTCACAGAGTACTTTAGGATAAAAAGAGCTGTGTAAATGAAAGATTTATTTTTTAGCAGAGCATCTACAATATGCGTGCCTAAACAACTTGATACCATAGGTTGGAATCAATATTGAATTGATTGATTGAAAAGATTGAATATTCTTTTTGTCAACTACATAATAAATGTGCTTGTGTGTGAGAGTAACTCAAGTCATAGTGTAAAGATTGCAGCTAAAAGTAGAAAATGTTTCTTTGGAACATCCAGTATTGTGTCAGATATCCGTGAGGTACTTAAGCTTGTTCATTGAGAACTTGATTGACAAGGGGAGCACTTTCTCCCATGTGCTGATTGTCTGTTTGCTCCTGTTCACCTTTCTTCCTACTCTTCTCTTCACCTGCCCTGTATGTTCACCTCCTTCCTTTCCTCTTCAACACTATCCTGTCCTCCTTCCTGTGTCTCCTCTTAATAAAATCCCACCCAAAGAATAAACAGAAATTTTACAACAAACATGAAATTTGCAGACTGTCACTCTCTTCTTGTTTATAATCTTTCTTCCTATCCTTTGTTTGTCATGTCTATTTGCATTGTTAGATGTTTGCGGCTGGGACCGTCTTCTGCTGTTTATAAAGTGCCTAGCACAACAAGCTGTGGTTTTGATTGGCCCCTCATCACTGCCATAATAAAATTAATAAATCATTCCCACTATGACTGTGGTCCGTTCCAAGTCCTAGTGAGTCTGGTTCTTCTGAAGTGGAAGAATAAATTGGTTTGGCGGGAGGGTAAGGTATGTGACAAAACATCTATAACATCTTTCATTCCAGCTTGAATTCACATATTGTATTTGCATTAATTGATACCATCTTTTATTTAAAGATGATGAAAAAGATGAACCGGCTTCTGCTAAGAAACGCAAACTAGACACTGAAGAAGAAACTAAGAGGAAGAAGCAATAAGTAGGATGTACTGCATTTGGCCCATTATGGACACTTCCCCTCTGCTGAAATGGGAAACATTTCATACTTCCCCCTAACTTATATCATGTATGTAGAGACTTTTTTATTTCTGTATTTGCCATTTGGAAAGCAGAGGAGTTCATGGATCAGCATAGTGATAAAGCTTGTATCCATTGAACAGAAGTTAAATCCGTGTGATCAGTTTATTTAAAACAATCTTTTAAAGTATTGCAATGAATATTTGTGTTAATACAGGTTATGGAGCTTTGTGGCATTGTCTTTATCCACAAACTTGTGATGTGAGCTTTTCTCAGCTGACCTGTCAAAACCTTTTATAAAGGAAAGTATTTTTAAAATGTTGTTTTAAGTAATGTACATGTTTTATGAATCTTGTTTTGAAATGTATGTAAAGAGTGTAAATACATAGGTTACCTGAAATAAACTACATGTGAAAATGTATATAGCTTAGTTGTTTAACAGAGTGTAATTATGGACAAATTCTATACTGTTTGCATTTCAGCAATGTGTTGAGGCTTGACAGACTGTTCAGATTTGATGTGATATAAATTGAGAGTTACTACTCCTTTTACAGCATTTGCCTTCAGCAAATTCCACTTTTCAAGTAAATTGTTGTGAAATCTATACCATCCTGTTATTGCCTGCAGCACTGGCTCATGGGGTTAAATGATGAGAGGAACATTGTCAATATTGAATAATTAAGTCAATTTGTGTTTTCTCAAAGTAGAGAACAAAACTGACATTCATATTAAATACAAAAGTTGTCATGACTCAACTTCACCACTCAATAATTATTGCCAAATGCATCCACTTCAGTGCAAAACAGCAACAAGAAGCTCAAGTGAAATGTATACTCAACTTGAAATGGGAGTTCTGCAGCAAGCAAACTGGCCCTTTTTCTTGCTCTCTTTGTAGAATCTAGTTAAGCAATATGCCCTGCTCCCTTACAGGATCAGAGGCTTTATGCATATCTGAGAAGAAATGGTACCTAGGACCTAATCATGCAATCAGAAATTATTCAGGTCATACTCTAGGAGTGAGGCCATGATTTACCATTTTAACATTTTACCAGGACCATTTTATGGAGTATAGCTACTCACTCTGACAGTGTAAAAACTCTGTAATGCTGCAGCCATTTGAAATTAGAATGCAAATATCTAACTTTGACTAGACATCAGGAGTGAAATTGCCACCAAAAGGGTAAGTTTTAATAATCCCTCAAGGCAGAACTTCACCTTCATGTTTAATTTATAAAGAGGGCATCTGCTGCAGCATGATACTCTTTACACCATAACAAAGACTGCCATAAATGTAACTGACACAATACTTTTGTAAACACATGTAGCTGTAGATTACTTATGTAACTACCGATCTAGTCTGACTCTGGGTACTGTTTGTTCATGAGATTACACGGGCTTGTTAAACATTACATTTTTTAGCCTTTTGAGCACCATTTATAAAGGTGGAACAAAAGTTAATGTGTTAAATGTGAAGTTGGTGTCTAAATGATCAGGCTACCTATTATGGCCTCTTACCATAGGCTCACTGGAGTGAGGGTGTTATGCCTCAGGACTGCATTATTACGGAGAGTCCTTAAACCTAGGTGAGGAACTTCAGCTTTGGTTATAAGTACAGTAAAACTCCAGTTGTCCGGCACCCACTGGAACCCGGAACTGCTCAGGTCGGCTGTGCTGCTCCCCGGCCCCAGCACACATAGCGTCCAGCCTGCATGTGCCAGCAACTGGCTGCTGAGCACAGGCAGCTGCTCTGGGACCCAGACATAAGGTTGGGGGCGAAGGGGAATTGGGTGACAGTGTGGGGGGGAAGGGGGTTATGCACGGCGTCCTGGCCAGTTCCCTGAAAAACCAGCTACTCAGTGCACATGCCCCAGCACCTGGAGGGAGATGTGTGGCTGTACTGGTGGCTCCAGGACCGGAGCATAAGGTGGGCAGGAGGGGGATTGGGTGTATGCTGCCTTATAGTACCTCCTGGTACTCGGGCATATCCAATAATCTGGCACCACCTAGGTCCTGGATTATCAGAAGTCTACTGTATATAGATAACTGGATTGGAGGAGTGATACTGGGATTTCCTTTAGCCATAAAAATCAAATGGGTCAGTTTCTTGGGCTTACCATTCTGTTCACTGTGATTCAGTTAACAAGGTTCAGGCCACCCTCTCCTTGTTTAAATAATTAAATGGAGATTGCCTATCTCCTAGAGCTGAAAAGGACCTTGAAAGGTCATTGAGTCCAGTCCCCTGCCTTTACAGCAGGACCAAGTACTATCCCTGACACATTTTTGCCCCAAATGGCCTTGGCAAAGGATTGAACTCATAACCCTGGGTTTAGCAAGCCAATGCTCAAACCACTGAGCTATGCCTCTCTCCCCCTTTGCTAGCTGATCAAAATCTCCATGTTAGAAAATTTGGCCTTAGTTACCAGATCCCAGTTAATGAAGATAATATCCCACGGTACCCAAAGTAAGCTCATTCTTAATACTGGAAAGATTCAATCTGCTCAAATCTTACAGGTGAAGTCTAAGGGATTGGCTAATATTTGGATCTTGTAATGACCTCTACTGCCTGAAATAGCTTAACCAATTCCATAGCTGTCGTGTAAAGTGAGGAACCCTGGCAGTAGATGCATGTCTGCAGCACTGGCATAACGAGGCTTTTGTCTTCATGTTATTTTCTTCATTACACTATATAGCAACTTCGGTAAGAGATCAGCATTTTTGCATAGTTCCCCTTTTTGAAATTAAATGCCACAGTGTTGGGCTGCTGAGGTGTTCTTCCCACCACAGGAATGTTAAATGTTAATATATTATGGTCACTATTTCCAAGCGGCCCTGTTATAGTTACCTCTTGGACCAAATCCTGCGTGCCACTCAGGGCTAATTAAGTAATGCCTTTCCCCTTGTGGGTTCCTGTACCATCTGCTCTAAGAAGCAGTAATTTAAGGTATCAAGAAATTATATGTCTGCATCTCGTCCTGAGGTGACGTACCCAGTCATTATGGGGATAGTTGTAATCCCCCACTATTATTGAGTTCTTAATTTTGTTAGCCTCTCTAATCTCCCTTAGCATTTCATAGTCACGATTACTGGCCTGGTGAGGTGGTCGATAATAGATCCCTACTGTTATATTCTTATTAGAGCAGGGAATTACTATCCATAGCGATTCTATGGAACATGTTGATTCATTTAAGATTTTTACTTCATTTGATTCTAAATTTTCTTTCACATATAGTGCCACTCCCCCACCCGCATGACCTGTTCTGTCCTTCCGATATATTTTGTACCCTGGAATGATTGTGTCCCATTGATTGTCCTCACTCCACCAGGTTTCTGTAATGCCTATTATATCAGTATCCTCCTTTAACACGAGGCACTCTAGTTCACCCATCTTATTTTTTAGACTTCTAGCATTTGTATACAAGCACTTTAAAAACTTGTCACTGTTTATTTGTCCGCCCTTTTCTGATGTGGCAGATTCTTTTTTATGTGAATGTTTTTCATTTGATCTGGCCCATACTTTATCCTCTTCTATCCTCTTCTGACTAAAACCTAGAGAATCTCTATCAATAGACTCTCCTCTAAGAGATGTCTCTGTCTGATCCACATGCTCCTCCACAGCAATCGGCTTTCCCCTATCTCTTAGTAAAAAACTGCTCTGTGACATTTTTAATGTTAAGTGTTAGCAGTCTGGATCAACTATGGTTTAGGTGGAGCCCATCCTTCCCTTATAGGCTCCCCCTATCTCAAAAGTTTCCCCAGTTCCTTATAAAGCTAAATCCCTCCTCCCTACACCATCGTCTCAGCCATGCATTGAGATTCTGAAGCTCTGCCTGCCTACCTGTCCCTGCGTGTGGAACTGGAAGCATTTCTGAGAATGCCACCATAGAGGTCCTGGATTTCAGTTTCTTTCCTAGCAGCCTAAATTTGGCCTCCAGGACGTCTCTGCTACCCTTTCCCATGTAATTGGTACCTACATGTACCACAACCACTGGCTCCTCCCCAGCACTACACATAAGTCTGTCTAGATGCCTTGAGAGATCCGCAACCTTCACACCAGGCAGGCAAGTCACCATACGGTTCTCCCGGTCATTGCAAACCCAGCTATTTACATTTCTAATGATCGAATCTCCCATTACTAACAACTGCCTTTTCCTACTGACTGGAGTTCCCTCCCCCAGAGAGGTAACCTCAGTGCGAGAGGATACCCCAACATCTGGAAGGAGGGTCCCAACTATCGGAAGGTTTCCCTCTGCTCCCGTTGACTACTCTCCTTTCCTTGAGCTTTTCATCCTCCTTAATAGCGCAAGGGCTGTCTAACTGGAGATGGGACAATTCTACAGTGTCCCGGAAAGCCTCATCTATGTACCTCTCTGCCTCCCTCAGCTCCTCCAGTTCAGCCACCCTGGCCTACAAAGCCCATATATGGTCTCTGAGCACCAGGAGCTCCTTGCACCAAATGCACACATACGCCACCTGCCCATAGGCCAGGTAATCATACATACTACACTGAGTGCAATAAACAGGATAGCCCCCACTCTGCTGCTGGACTTCTACCTGCATTCTCTCCTATAGCTACCTAGGTTATTGATAGGGTTTCCAGTTAAATCAGGAAGTTTTGATTAAAACCTTCAAATTAAACTATAAAGAATGGCAAGTGTACCCTGGCCCCTTCCCACTCCCCTGCCAAACTCCCTCTCAAAACTCATTGTTTGCTGCTCCTGTTCACAAAGCTGTTCTCATCAGGAATAGTGAGCATTGAATGTGTAGTGTGTGCATTCTGTTTTGGTTAATGTTAATAAATAGAGATTAAATAGGATATTACTATATAAAGCTCTTTCTTGATAAAACTTCCCATTAACCTGCAGAAAGTTTACCCTAAGATCTAGGAATTGGGTAGGGATGGGTATTTACATTAACAGGATTACACCTGAAGCCTAGGAACAAGTAAGGGTGGGTGCCCTAGAATGTAAGGTTATGCCTGATCCCCAGGAATGGGTAAGAGAGGGTTACTCCAGAGCTCTAGAAACTGATTAAAGGTTCATGCTCTGAGAGTGTGTATGTAACAGAATGTTGTGAGTAACAGTATCACTGTCCATCTTTTGATTGTAATAATAATTCATAGGTCTGGTATAGCACATTTCATCAATAGATTTGAAAGTGCTTTACAATGAAGGTCAATCCCTATTTTACATGTGGGAAAACTGAGGCACATTCTGGTGACTCGCCCAAGCTTACATAGGAATGACTGACAGCAG